GGCGGTGGCGGAGGTGGTGGCACGGACGAGAGCGCAGACGAGGGAACCAGGGCAGATGCGCCGGAGCAGCAGCAGCAGCAGCCTCAGCAATCGTAGTTGCAGCAGCAGCAGCAACAACCGTAGGGACCCCCGCCGCCTTGGTGGCCTGGCGGCGCTAGTACTGGTGGTCGTGGTGGTGGGCCGCGCAGCTTGATGTCGGGTGGCGACTCCAGTGTGGTCATTTGCCAGTACCAGTTTCAGTCCGGCCCCAGCCGCGATACCGTCTGCGACCGTCCCGGTCACACCGCCGCCCACTGCTACCGCCGCCTTGACCCCACGGCGGACCCCCCCAACTGGTACAGCCTGGTGCGTCATCGTGTGCCTGTCTTTGAGATGGACATGGATCAGACCTGGTCTGCTATGTATGCCCTGTATGGTGATGATTGTAGTGTGAATGGACCCTATCACCTGATGTTGCCTAGCGTAGGTATGTCCACCGTGTTGGTCTAGGCTCCCCTCCTGCATGCGCTCACGCCGCTTGCCGCCCCTGCCGCTGTCACGCTTGATGAACCCTCCTCAGGTCCGGTAGTTGACCGTAGCTCTACCACCCTTCCCTGCCCGTCAGTTCCCTTGGGCTCTCTTACAGGCCTGCAGATCCCCTCATTCTCCAGGAACCTGGCTGGTGTCAGCTGTCTTCAGGACCTCGCCATCACCACTACGTTCCCTGGACACGAGCGGTACGCGGTCTATACCGAGGCCGCCATTGGTGCCCCTCTCACCAGATTCCCCCGGGACCCTGTGTCTGGCCTGTTTACACTTGAGACTGCGTCCCCCCCGGTGGGGGCGTCCCTTCAGGTGCCTGCGTCTACCCAGGTCGCTGCGGCTTGCTTGTGTCGGTCGCTCACTCACCCATCGCGTATGTGGCACCACTGCCTAGGTCACCCCGCACTCTCCCGCCTGCGTTACATGTCTCAGCACAGTCTTGTCTTAGCTCTCCCTGCGTTGCTCCGTGCTCCCCCTCCCTCGCCTGCGCCGCCGTGCACGCCCTGTGTTGGGGGCCGACTGCTCCATGCTCCTCACTCCTCCTCACTTCCCCCTACCTCTGAGCCACTTCAGACCCTGCACCAGGACGTTTGGGGCCCAACCCCCGTCCCTGGGCCGCGTCGAGAGCGCTACTTCCTAGTGCTTGTTGATGACTATACGCGCTACACCACATTGTTTCCACTGGAGCAGAAGGCCGATGTGCCTGACGCTCTTCTCCCGTGGGTTGTAGCTGTGCATGTCCACCGCGACCTCCTGATGCTGCGTTTTCACTCCGACCGTGGTGGCGATTTCGCCTCCACTCAGCTTGGCCACTTCTATTGTACGGAGGGCATCACCCAGTCGTACACCCTGCCAAACTCCCCGAAGCAGAATGGGGTCACTGAGCGACGCATCGGTCTTGTTATGGAGGTGTCTTGTACCTCAAAGATCTATGCTGGTGCACCCCATTTTCTGTGATCGTTCGCTGTTCGCTATGCCGCTCACCAGCTTAACCCGTGGCCACACTCTCAGCGGCCACAGGTTTCGCCAACTCTCCTCTAGACCGGGTTTCTTGGTGACGTGTCTGCGTTCCACGTCTGGGGATGCCTTGCTCACGTTCATGCCTCAGGCACGGATAAGCTCACTGCCCGAACTGTCCCCTGTGTCTTCCTTGGCTTCCTCCTCAACGCGTCTGACTGGCACTTTTACCACCTGCCGTCTCACAATTTTGTTCACTTGCGTAACGTCACTTTTGACGAGATTGCCTCCTTCTACCACCGAGGTCTCTCGGTTTCCCTACCGAGGTCACTCGCTTTCCTCTCCGAGGTCTCCTGGTTTTCCCGTCCTTGTTCCTGGTTCCCAACCCCCTTGGTCCCGGTCCTGGTTCCTTGTTCCTGGTTCCTGGCCCCTGCTCCTCTCCATGCGCGTCCTGCCCCATTTGGTGTGTCGCACGTCACTCCCCTCTTGTCGATTGTCCTGGTAGAGGAGTCGGCTGACTCTAGTGGCCCTGCGGCTCCGTTCTCACCGCTTGTCTCTACCCCGGTGTCTCCTCCTCCGCCGTCGCAGCAGCAGCTGCCATCTTTGCCGCAGCAGCAGCAGTCGTCATTGCCGTCGCCGCAGTCTCAGCCGCAGCAGTAGCCGCAGTCGCCGCCGCATGGGGTCCGCGAGGTCTGGGGGTGCGGGCGTTGAGAAGGGTGCTAGTTCCGGGGTTACTATCATGGCTTGTCCCAGCAGTTCGGGGGGTGTTACCGATGCTGGAGAGGGTTCTCGTACTGGGGGTGCTAGTCCTGGGGTTAATGTCGTGTCTTGTCCCGGCGGTCCTAGGGGTGGCACTAGTGCTGGCGAGGGTTCTCGCTCTGGGGATGTTGGCGTGGAGCGTCCCGGAGGTAGCCATGGTGAACCTGGAGGTTCTGGTGTCGGCGCAGAGCAGTAGCAGCAGCAGCAGTCGTCGCCGGTGTCCACCCTTCACCTCCTCGGTCTTCCCTCTCCTGACCCCCCGCCGCCGCCTCTCCCGCCGCCGCCTCCCCTACCTGTCTACGGCCATGTGTTTCCTCTGGAGGACTCGTCTCCGGCTCGACTCCCCCCTTGTTCTCCTCCTGTTTCTCCACCCTTGTCTCCTGACCTGACCTCACCCTCCCGCTGGTGCTCTCAGCGTGCCTCTCGTGCTTGTCATATCTCCCCTGCCCAGCATTCTCAGCCTATGTTGCTTCGTTCCCATGCGTCTCGTCTTCCCCACCTCCCGTTGCCTCCTCCGTCGTCGCTTGTTGTCACTCCGCCTCCTCTGTCTGACTTCCTTCGTGCCGCTAGTCCTCTTGTTCCTCGGGTCCTTGCCTCCCTCATTACCGTCCTCTCTGTTCCTGTCTCGAGTATTGACGCTCTTGTCGCTGCCGTTGCTGACTTTGCCTCTACCAGCCGCCTTGACTTCGCCACCGCTCAGGTCTCTGACCCTGCCCGTCCTCTATCCGTCAGGGGTGCTCCTGCCCTCGGCAGTAACGTCCAGGAGGACCGGTAGTACGAGCTCACTCCTCATCTCTGCTCCATGCTCCTAGTCCTTGAGGGTGACCCAGACGCCCTTGACATTCAGACTATTCGCACTTACGTTGAGGCGACCTTAGGACCCAAGGCCTCTCAATGGATAGCTGACATGGACGCGGAGATGGCATCTTGGAGATCCACCGGCACCTACATCGACGTAGTTCCCCCACCTGGGGTGAACGTAGTCGATGGCCGGTGAATCTTCAAGGTGAAGCGCCCTTCTGTAGAGCCACCGGTGTTCAAGGCGCGCTACGTTGCTAGAGGCTTCAGTCAGCGCGAGGGTGTTGACTTCTTCCAGACCTTCGGCCCAACCCCGAAGATGACCACTCTTCGGGCGCTGCTACACATGGCGGCACATCGTGATTACGAGCTGCATTCCCTGGACTTCTCCACGGCATTTCTCCAGGGCAGTCTACATGAGCCGGTCTACCTGCGTCGTCCGCCCGACTTCACGGGTACCTTTGCCCCCGGTACCGAGTGGCTTCTCTAACGTCCGGTTTACGGCCTGCGGCAAGCGCCCCATGAGTGGCACGACACGCTGCATGCTAAATTAGCTGACCTGCAGTTCTTCCCGTCGTCTACAGACCCCTCGCTCTTCGTTCGTGCTGGCGAGACTCCGTTTTATGTCCTTGTCTACGTAGACGACCTGGTCTTCGCTACTGCAGACAGAGATGCACTGGCCTTTGTGAAGGCTGAGTTGCTAAGGAGACACACCTGGACTGACCTAAGAGAGCTGCGCCGCTACCTTGGCCTGCAAATCTCAAGGGACAGAGCAGCACGCACCATCACTCTTACACAGTCACACTTGGTGCGTCATGTCCTTCAGAGGTTCGGTCTTTAGTTGCTCACAGACTTACGTGAGCGGCCTAGCTTTGCCCCAGTCTTGTACACTGACAACAGGGCCATGATCCTCCTGTGTCAGGAGTCTCGATTGGAGGGCAGAGTGAAGCACATCCAGCTGCTGTACTTCCTCCTGCGCGAGCTACAGCAGCGCCGCCAGGCCCGCGTAGTTCACTTGGCCTCTGTTGCCAACACATTTGATATCTTTACGAAGGAGCTTGCGCCTAATTATCATCAGCGGCACAGTGTACAGCTTGGTCTAGTTCCTGTAGCTCCTCACTTGCTAGGACCTTGATTGTGTACTATATCTTACATTACCGTAATCTCCCTGCATGATTACCCCCCCGAAAAAGGGACTCTGGGTCTTTTTTCCGGACCATGGGTCTTGATATCGTTAAGGGATTGTGAGGACCCGTTGTTTGGGGTAAATCATTTGAGGACCCCCCCTTTTCAGTTTTAAGAGGTTTTTCTGGCAGTTTTTGCTAAATCTCAAAATGCGTCATGCACTACGAAGTCAACTTCCACATCATGGAGACTCCGTAAACGAACCCCCCCCCCCCTCGTAATGACTCCTGCTGGCAGTCAAGAAGATCGCGCGACGCACCAGCGCTGTAAAGTTGCCAGCCGTTGGTGCTAAGAAACTGACGCGTATCCATCTAGATGGCTCGGACAAAACGAGGCTAAGAATCTACTGTCCCCCGTTTGAAACAAATGACCCCCTGTATAACCCTGATTGGTTTGGAATACCAGAACATGGGACAAACAAACACCTTACGTAATAAATAACTGCACATGGGTCTTATTAATTACCATCCTTTAAAATGTCCACCCAAACGATTTTCACTGAATTTTCCATAAGACATAGGGTCATCATGCTGGGAGATTACGGTATCTTGACTGGCTGTGTGGCTCTTGTTCCAGTGGCTGGACTAGTAGTGCCGCCCTGGGTTGCTCTTGTTTCCTGTGTACTCTTGCTGACTGGTCTTCAGGCCCTTGCCTAAGAGGTTGGACTTGTAGGTGCCACCGTAAGTTGCATGTCTCGTGCTAGTCATTGCCCCTTGTCTTGCCTAGGGGGTGTGTCAACATATATGTTGTATATGCTATAGGCTAGATAGGTGCAGTCTTATAGAGAGTACAATTTGTTAGACAAAACCACCTTGTATCCCTCTTTCTAGTAAACAACTCTATTCTGAGAGCACTAACATTTATATGGTATGTATACCCGTAACAAACTCTTCATTCATAAATACTCATGCAGCTTTCCCACACACCTGACATGGGACGCTAGCAAGGGAGGATGACGAAGCAAGAAACATTTCCGAAACCATCACCGTCGAGACAGCCTAGGGTGCGGGCCCATGCTCATCGTGTGCTAGAGCCTCCTCCTCTGATCCATCGGCTGGCATGGCATCAGACCCCAGAAGGTAGGGACCGTGGCCATTTGGCATCTGTGGCCCTTGGTCATTCGACCTCAACCAGGCACTGGGAACAGGCGGAGCACTGAACCCAGCACCAACAGGCTCGTCAGCAGACTGCTCCTCACCTGTCTGCTCGTCAACAGTCTCCCCATTCTCCACCGGGATCTGTGGTGGCTTCAACCAGGCACTTGGAACAGGCGCAGCACTGAACTCAGTACCAACAGACTCGTCAGCAGACTGCTCGTCACCTGTCTGCTCGTGACCTGTCTGCTCGTCACTATCCTCCCCATTCTCCACCGGGATCTGTGCTGGCTTCAACCAGGCACTTGGAACAGGCGCAGCACTGAACTCAGTACCAACGGACTCGTCAGCAGACTGCTCGTCACCTGTCTGCTCGTGACCTGTCTGCTCGTCACTATCCTCCCCATTCTCCACCGGGATCTGTGCTGGCTTCAACCAGGCACTTGGAACAGGCGCAGCACTGGAATCAGCACCCTTGGGCTCGTCACCTACCGCCCCATCACCACCATTATCAGCTGGCATCTCCTCGCATCCCACAGATTCCACACCACCCTCCACATCGTAGCCATCGCTGTGATCACCTCCGGCTGCCGCTGCTGCTGCTGCGGCTGTTGCTGCTGGTGCTCCTGCTGAGAAGAGAGAAGGGATATCAGCTGCTGGGTAAAGAGAAGAAATCCCAGCTGCTGCGACAGGATCGGTTGGCATAAGGTTCGGGCCATGGTCCTTTGCCATCTGTGGCACTTGGTCATTCGACCTCAACCGGGCACTTGGAACAGGCGGGGCACTGAAATCGGCGCCATCAGGCATGGGGGGAGCACCCTGGGAACCTGCTGCAGCCTCCTCCCCTGGTGCTTCTTCCCCTGGTTGGGGAACATAGACTACTGGCAAGGGCCCTTGCTCTTCGCCTGCTGGATCAGTCCCCAGAAGGTAGGGGCCATGGTCATTCGGAACAGGAGCACTGGAGGCAGCACCAGCCGGCTCGTCACCTGTCTGCTCACCACCATTAGCAGCCGGAGAAGGAGCACTGGAATCAGCACCAGCTGGCTCGTTGTCTGTCTGCTCGCCACCACCATTAGCAGCCGGGGCAGGAGCAGTGGAATCAGGAGTGTCGTCACCTCTCTCCGCATCATCACCGCCATTATCGGGTGAAATGTCCTCGCATCCCATAGCAGGCTCGAAGACCGGGTCAATGGACGGCTCAGATGCCACAGCAGCCTCCCCGCCGGGACCTACCGACGGCTCAGATCCCATGGCAGGCTCCGGATCTACGAAGGGCTTGGATTTTACAGCAGGCTCCGAATCGACCAACGGCTCAGATCCAAGATCTGCTGGGACAGGAGAAGAATGGTCGGCTGCTGCGTTACGAAACGCGTGGACGGCGAGGGCTGGGCCGTTGGGGTTGACCAGATTCTCCTTCAACGCGCGTGCTGCATCTGCTGGCGCACACGCCATCAGGCCGACCGCCAAGAGCACCAGCAGAAACGGCAGCGGGGATTTCTCGAACCTTCTCATAGCAACGTTGCTTGGACTCATAACTCCTGCTGAAACACGCTATACAGCCGGTGCTGCTTGGATGGTGCTGAATTCAGAGCGGATACACTCTAGTATAGCAGCGCGGGGTTGTGCCGTTGAGCTGGACTGACGAGTTGAAACGAGCGATGGTGGCCTTTTATGGGACTTCAAATGTCTTGATTGACTCCGAATCGCGCGCGGCCCGACTGAGACTGAGGGAAATCAAATGTTCCATGAATGCGACTCGGACCGACAGTAGCAATGTACGAGCGACAACTCGGAAATAATCGTCGCGTGATTCACCCGCCGGGACTTTCGGATGGGCTGACCGGTCTACTGCGTGTTGCGAAGGGCGGTGTTGCTGATCGCACGAAGGAACGCTCACTGAAGAGGCCTGGATCCCTAGAAGCATCACTGCCGTGGCGCTCCGGGTTATTCAGGTCCCTACTTCGCTCTGAATTCCTAGTAGGGACTGTAGTATTAAGCACGCTCACTGACTTCCTAGCAGACCTCGTGCGGAATCGAATACGCCAGGCAAGGCACCGCAGGCGGCATGAAAGCCTGGACGTCGCAATGCGAGCCTGGCCCGAACAGTAGTGCCACGCACCTCCACCAATCGCCAGGCTGGAAATGGTGGCATTGTAGGACCACCATGAAAGGTCGACTGCTTGTGACTTGACTACAGTAATACCACAGGTCCCTGATCGGGAGGCACGCTGACAGAACCCCACGGGAGGGTAAAGTGGGCTAATCTGCTTCGATAACTGTTCAGTACAACTCTGCAAATCACAAATTCCAGATCGCAGTGTTGCTGTACTCGGCTAGGAGGGAGGCGGGAAAGGAGGACCGTAGATTCGGGTGCGCCTGCTTCCAACGGATAGGAGGTTGACGGTGGGGAAGGTGGGAAGGAGGTCGACGGAACCATGGCAGAAGCACCCGATGCTTCGATTTTGCGGGTTCCGATGGCATTATCTGAAAGCTGAATGTGAAACTGGAAACTGAATCTAAGAGGTTGATTGTGAAAGTGAACATGAAAAGTAGACTACACAACTGACCATGAAGAGTTGAATGTAAAATTGAACATGGGAAGTTGACTGAAATCGTCCATTGGGGTTTCACTGAAACCTGCCACAGTTGACCGCAACTAATCATGAGAAGTTGATTGAAACAGATCTTTGGAAGTGACTGAAACTGATCATGGAAACTTGGCCTGGGTTTAGAAAACGGGAACTGACTTGGAGCTTTGACCAATGGTAAGTTGATTGAAACTGATCTTTGGAAGTGACTGAAACTAATCATGGAAACTTGGCCTGGGTTTAGAGATCTGGAATTTCTTGACTGATGTCGCAGAAGCGAGAAGCGTACTCTTGGACAGATTTCAGTTGCTTGAGGGCAACCAAGGAGTCTCGTGCCTTGATGTTCGGGTCCACGGGTTGAAATGTTGAAGATTTGCTTGAAGTGTTCCCAAGAGGTGATAGATGCGTGCGCAGATTGCCACCATGTGGTTGCAGATCCCCGGAGAAGAGTTCCAGTGAAGGCAATCCATTCAGCAGGTGCTATGTGACTCAGCAGCAAGTACTGCTCTACGAGAAATAGCCATCGACTCACGACTGGCTGTTTTCTCCCGGGAAGGAAAAAATCAGGAAGAGCGGGTCTAGCGCGCTGATTTCCATCTGATGGTGCAACAGGGTTCACGCCTGCCACCACTCCAGCTGCAGCTATACTAGCTTGCAATTCTGCCTGCACGATTTCCCTAACCTCAAAAATGATTTGGGCTTAGTAGGTTTGCCTAAAAACCAGCCCAATGGTCAGGAGAAGGGGGGCCATTAGTCGTCATGTCGAGTTCTAAAAAAAAAGAGGGTCAAAAATAGCTCTGATTACCAAATGAAATAGCCACTAGGCTGTTTGGAGTAGATAGTAGAGTTATGAGGTATTATTGGAAGACTCCAAGGTAGAAGTAGCAAAGTAGCTCTACTAGGGATCACATGATGGCTTCCAATCAAGAAGCACACCACTATATACAAGGAGAATGACTAAGGCGCCTCGAGAAGGTCGCCCAAGTCGCTTCTCATCTTTGCTAAGCTAAGAACAGGCAAGCATAGGTAATGATTGCATGCATGCATACTTAGCTTGGCTGGAATTCTAGAAACTAGCATGCATAGTCTGGAAAATAACTATTGCATCCTAGCATAGTCTTCCATGTACTGCTGTTGCTGACGGCGTTCGTAGAAATGATGAAATATAGTTGTGCTGGAAGAAACCATGGCTGTAGTTGTTTTCCGCTAGGTGTTCTGTTGATTATTCTGCTGCGCTGCTTGGCTGGGTTGCGAGCTCTCTGTAGTTGTTCCCAATGTTGAAAACTCAGATTGAAGGGTTGAGCAATTCGAGGTTGGATTCAACATTCGAATTTCCCGAGGGTGTATTTTGAGGTTGGGTTTCAACATCGAATTAGATTTTGTTGAGCTGACGAAACTTCGTTACACGAGTTCGACGGTGTCTTGTTACATCCACCCAGCCCATGCTCCACCCCCACTCCCCCATCTCCCGTGCTCTCCCCCCCTCACCCATACTGTCCTTCTGCCTCCCGCCTCCCGCTTCCCACTTCCCGGTCAGAGGGCTAATGTCACTCTGGAAAGAGGGGAAGTGGGGAGGGGGTGGGGGGAGTGGGGTATAGAAGGGCCTCTGGAGGGGGGAGAGGGAGGACTATGTATGGAGGGGGAGGAGGAGATCGGATTGGGAAGGGGTGACTCCGGAGCGGGGGAGGGGAGGAGAGGGCTCTGGAGAGGGGGTGGGGAGGGAACTGTTTGAGGGGGGGGGGTGGGGAAGAGGGTTATGGAGGGGGAGGATCTGGATCTGGAAGGAGGATCACCCATGCTCTCACCCCCTAGCTCGTGCTCTCCCTCAATCACCCTTGCTTTCCCCCTCTGCCCCATGCCCTCCCCTCCCCCCCCCCCCTCTCTCTCCCGTCTGCCCTTCGCACTCTGGGTTCTTCTTTGCATACGTCAAACCCCCCCTCCCCCTTTTCTCCTACCCCCTGCTTCCAGCACTCCCCTTTCCTGCATCCCCGCTTTCCTGGTTCCCCGCATACTCGCTTCCCTGCTTCCCCGCTTTCCGCTTCCCCGCTTCCCAGCAACCCCCCTTCCCCGCCTGCCCGCTTCCCCGCATCCCCGCTC